GTGTTACGTTAATACACACATACTTAATAAAGGGCTGTTATTTTTCCTTTTTCCCTTTTCCATAATTTGCTTTCCTTCAATCGGAGCCTCTTAATTTCGAATCTATAATTGCTAGAAAAGAAGGTTTGGGTCTTTTTCTCCTAATCCATCCTCAGCAAAAGACCCTTGTCTCAATTAAACTGAGACAAGGTGCTAATCTGAATTTGAGTCAGGTATCAATAACCCAAAATATTTATTACCCCGTTGCATAAAGTCTATGAGAAAACAATCACTGAACTTCCAGAGAGAAAATAGAAAATGCAAACATTTGTGTTTCTGTAGTTACTTATACAGCACATGGGATTGTATTCCATATTGGACAGAGGCTTGAGTAGATGTGCTCCCTGCCACTGAAGAATACAACCAGCTGAACATTTCCATTGCCTGTTTAAATATCAGAAACGGCTCTCAAACAAAGGCATCTGGGGAAGGTGGTCTGTTAAGAAGTGGTCCTAGCAGAGACTTTAGCTCCATACATAAGCAGTGAGAACATTGTATCAGCCACTGAGGTTTTGTTGGAGGCTCTGATCCACTGCTCAGGTACCTACTCACAGTCTGCACCTGTAGGGATGCACGGTTCCTCTCCCAAAGAACAGAAGAGGGCTCGAATTGTTGGGTGGGAGCTATGAAATTAACTGAGTCATTAAAATCAATTTCCCACAGCCATTTTGAGGTCTAGAATACAATTTTGTTTTACTTTCTTTGAAAGACATGTCCCTGTTTTCACAGAAGCTTTTGTACAGGCAGTAATTGTAACTCTAGTCTGCAGAATTACAATAACAAACAAGGTTTGTTTGTCCCAGCCATGTAGGACTCTCTTTTCCTTGCTGCACTTAACTTTTAAACTCAGGCCCACTATTAAAAAATGTTTTTTGTGGATCCCCTCCTCCCCATTCTCTCCCCTTCATTTGTCTGCCCATAGACAGAAACCACCATCACTTACTAATTGTTTGTGCAGTGCCTAAATAATACAGCCATAGTTGAGACCTTTTGATGCTATAGTGTAGGAAACAATCACTGTCCAAGACCTTTATCTCTGTTTCTTTAAAGCAGAAGTTCTCTTTCCCATGGTGCCTGTCTGCTGAGGGATGATAATGTAAGGATGGAAACTGAGCCACCATCAAGTGACTAAAATAATTCCTATGAATTCTTAATTCCATGTGACTGTTTCAGATTTCCCGTGGAAATCCTACTGCCCTTTTTGCTATCTCATCTGGTATACTACATGATATACAGGGCAAGCAGGCAATTATCACAGCAATGAGTTACCCTGGATACTGACTGAAAATGTCAACAGAAACAAATTACACTGAAAAACATGAATGTGTATCCCTGCATTTGTGCAGGAGATTTGTGCATCTCTTCAGGAGAACAACTGAGGATTGAAATCCACTGGCTATTTTCCTGGTTATCTGTCAATTGACCAAGGTGCGAGTAATGCAGGAAGGAAAAATCCATAGCTTGGCATTTTAACTACTTGCGACCATCAATAAGTAATACAACAGCTAAAAAGAAACATTACTGAATGAAATAGATTAATGAACTAAAACCTTTAGCTCATTTCTCCACGTCTTTCATTAGATTCTCACAAGCTAGCCCATCCTGTCTACTTTCCCTGATCTGGAAGGTATTTTCCAGTTATGGAATGATCTGGGATCAGAATAACAAGTAATTGGAGAAGTACATCCATCATCGTAACAGGAGGGACAAGATATTGCTGGCAGCAGCAGCAGCAGCAAGAACTGCAGGGACCAGTACAGAAGAGACTGTTTCCTGATAAGCATGGAGAAAGGAAAATAAGACAATACAGGTTCATTAGCACAGGAAATTTGCCTTATTCTGAGACTAGCCACTTCTAACTACAGGACGAGGAACAAGAGCCACTGACAAGAACAAGCCCCTTGGTAAACACTCTATTTATATCAGTTTCCCCTTGCATCACACAATACACCAGCTCTGATTTTTTTTTTTTGTGCTCCCACCCTGTTTTCTTTCCAGTATCTGCTAATCCAACACAGCATATTGCTGAAATGGCAGCAAAGTTACTCAATGCTACAGGTTGAAGACCAATCTTCTGCTTCTCTGTACTATGCTTCAGGTTCATTTTCCCCCTAGAGCCTACTTGTTCCCTGAACATTTCTTTTCCTCAGGCTGTTTCTCTCCCACTCCACACCAGCATTTTCATCAGTGTGCATAGAGCAAACTCTTCTTTCGCTCTTACTTGTTGATTCTGTTGGAGAGCTCCCGGGAAGGCCTGCAATAAAACAGAAGGAATAGGTTGTTAGTAGCTGTTTTAGATGTTCCAAGTCCTCACATCATGCAAACTAGCAGACTCTAGCAACATGCTCAGTAACCCCACAACAAATGCTGCCCCAGAATGGACATTCTAACACTGTTCCTAAGCCCAGAAATTCAGAGCTGTTAGAATCTGCAAACATCTCTCATAGATGGGAGAAGAATCAAAAGCCCAGCCTATGCTAGGTTGTTTTTCTGTTCAAGAGAAGAAAATCCTGAATTAATTGATACATTCCTAAAAAAAACTCCTCCTGCCAAAGCCAAGTAAGTGCCTGTGAGTGAATAGCTGGCATTTAACTGACAAAAGAGTGTTTTAATAAAAGAAATTCAAATGCCTAATTGAGACACGTCTTCAAGTGTCACAAAACCCTTTAAAAACAAATTTTCATTTATTATCTTGGTGCTTTTGTCTAGCAGACTGCCGAGCAGCAGGAGTAAGAGGCATTGGTAATGAGGAAGAAATTGACCTTGCAGAGCACCGGGCACAATGCTCACTGGCC